TCTTTTCCGTCTTCACAATCAAATCATACGCCGCATTAAAATCTGTCGTTGTGATCAGCGCGGCGTACGGCCTCAAGTCCGGCCGTAGCTTCTTGACGAACTCATTCAAACGATCCTCCAGAGTGGAGACCAGACTCGTCGCATACTGGGACAGGTAGTCGAACTTCTGTCTCAGTTCAGGCAGTGATATCCCCTCCTGCTTAAGCGCAACAAACTCATCGCGCCTCTCCTCGCGGTACCGGGTGGGGACGTACTCCTTCGTGAAGGCTCGATCAAAGCGATCCCAGGGACGTACCCGGTCCATTTGCTCAAGCCAATCCAACGCAATCTGGGGCTCCCCCATCTTGTCTCCTCGAAACTCTTTCGCTCCATTATCCTTCAACGTCTTGAAGGTAACGATGCGCGGCTGCGGCTGTGGTGGTGGCGGTGGCTGGAACATGGGCATAAGCTGCGCCATGTGCTGCATATAATGGGCCATCATGGCTGGGAACATCTGCTCGTAGGCCACCTGCGGTATCGCCAACGGGGGCATCACTGGAGGTGGTACGACTGGCGGTGGTACAGCTGGTGGATGTCCCGCTGGCTCAGGTTGATTTTGCTGTTTCCCTCCCTCACCTGGAGGCGTGAAACTTGAACCCTCGGTGTTCACCGTGTGCACGCTCACGTGCTCCGGCTCCGGAACGTACTGACCGTGGGTCGATTCTTGACTCATTCTAAAATAATAAGGAAATTCCCAAGTCAGATCTTAACATATTACAGATAAAGCTATAAATACTTATTACCTTCCTGGGGCAGAGGAGTTACGTGAGATGCAGATGCGGCTGAATTATTCATTGTATTTTATTTTGAAAGGGTCCAAAGACCGATTTTAAAACCAAATGCTCCGATACCAAAATGTAACACCCCAACCCGCGTAACCCAAACCCGTGAGATAGCGGACCGGTGTGCCACTGGATTGGTATCCGAATATACAACATTTTCAAAACAATTTTAAACAAACGTTCTTTCAATACATATAAAAATCCATCGGAGTAATTTAAAATAATGCGGAAGCCTTTTTAAAGTCAAACAACTTGGG